CTAATAGAAATTGAATAACAAACCTCAATGATGCATAGTTTTGAATTTGCATACATTCTGAAACTTGAGAGATTTCAAGGCACTTTCTCAAGAAGTATTGGAAGTTTATTTCTTTCTTTCTTTTTTGTTTTTTTTTTTAAAACATTTTCATTAACTATGAATAACACCCATACTGAAAACATTAAGGGTGTATTAAGTTAAAAAAATTTAACCTCCATTTTTTCCCAAATTCATAGGTTTTAATGAAAAAAGTGCTGTGTTATACAGTATGCTTTTTCATGGTGTATTATGTTCTATACTTACAAAATGTCTAAAAAATAAATTTGGAGCCATTTTTAAAAAAATCTTTAGGCATATTTGAAAGTTGCCACTACCCAAATCAAAATTACACAAAGTGTTAATGTTTAAAAAATATGTTCATTTTATTATTTCATGATATAATATTGAAAAATAGATTGTATTAAGAACAATATTTCTAGCTTCAATGACATTATATGAGAGATTTGAAAAAATGTTAAACTTGGGCAACTTTTGAAAATACAAAGGTTGAAATAAAAATATGACATTTAGCAAATCTACAAGCACGCCGTTCTCTATTCCTGCAAAACATTTGGAAGCATTTTGAAAACATTCTAAATGCTTTATATGAAGTAACCCCAAAATCAAAAGATACATTTCAAAATGGCGAGGTCTCAAGTACAGCCCAATCAAACAGAGTATCTGATGCCCAGTTTCAGCACTAGTGTTCAGGGAGACAGACAGATGACTGACAGATAGTTTTGAAGAAAACCAAATTTGTATCACCCATATTGTGGAACCTACATACATCCATCAAAAACTCAACATTGATTATTTCCCTGAATTTCACAACTTTTGATGTTTGAAAAAGTTAAAAAGGGTATGAAATACTCCTCAAAATTTAAAGGTCTTTGAAATTGAGAATATTTTTAGCAATATCAATCCCAGAATAAACATTTTGGATAACATTTTAGGGTTTAGGAGTTTTGTGCACGTTCATCTGACAAAAATAACAGAAAATTAAGAGGTTCTTCAATTTTTGACTTTGTATTACTGAAATTATAGGCTTTATTTGAAGTTGTTCTATTGACACATTTTCACAGAAACAGAATAATGATGATATAACATTAAAACTGTAATTATTTAATGTTATCCCTCTTGTTCTTATTAGACATTAAAACAAATCTACAAAACAAATATTACCGAAACTGAAAGGGACTGATAATGTTTTAGCACAATTATGGCTAGAAAGATGCAAAACAGAAAAGGATTAACAGTAGTACTATAATATACTATGGTGACCAAGCGGAATTGGAACGTAAAAAAGATAATTTTTTTTAACTTTAATTTATCTCAAATAAATAATGAAAAATAAAATATTCCAAAATTTTACAATGTACAAAGCATTTTGGAATGCAAATGAAACTAGTGGTGTTAATGAATGGTGCTGACTTTCTCATACGAGTTGGTTTTCTAATTTCTTTGGTTTGGGCTAGCGTTTTGGTCTTGCTCCATCCTCTTCTGCTGCAATTTTATTGTTGCCTGAAGTACTTTTTTCAAAATTTTCTTAATTTTTTGGTTTCCTAATGGTAGAACCAAACAAAAACTTTAAGAATATTACAGAAGAATTATACCTCATCTTATAAGGCAATTTTCAGTGAAAGATTTGAGTTGCTTTAAAGAAAATGGCATTTAGGTGTTACTGTAAATGAGAATTTTGAAACACTTTTCCACAGAAATGATTGAGTTTTTTTATTGGATGTCATTTGAAGCACTTCTACTCACAAATGCAATAACGTATACGAATCGCTGGAAATTTGTGTATTAATGGCAGGAGAGATATTTGAAAAAAAAAAAAATACATTTGTGTAACTTTTTAAAACACAAAATACAGTAAATAGTTATTTATGTAACAAGTCCTCTATATTAGTCTTTAAGAACAAGGCCGGAAGATTAATTGCAAGACGGAGGGATAGCAGAGCTGAGTAGTTAACCTACCAACAGAGTCCTTAAAGACTAATAGTGGATGTGTTACAATGTTTTTTGTTATTTCTAATTATTAGAATAATAATATATTATAATGATATATTATTATTAGAATAATAATATTAGAATAATTAGAAATCTAATTATAAATAATTAATAAATAAATTATTAATTAATATATATTAATTAATAAATAATTTAAAAAAATAATTAGTTATCAAAAGGACAGAGAGACACATGGAATAAGCTGAGAAAGCAGGATAAAAAGGGCAAGGAGACAAATTTGGAAAAGGAGAATAAAGGGACAAAATGAGGAAAGGGGAAAAAATTCAGCAATGGAGATAAACGAGACAATTTAACAAAAGGGAAGGTGGACGAAATGGGTTATATTTATCCAAAGATTTATAAGCATTGTTAAAATCTAAACCAGAGAGTCCACTAAACATTTTATAATGGATTCTCTGGTATTAGAAGGCTGTTGCTATGGACGCAGTCTTTAAGAGTTGTTTAGATGGTTTGTTGCTAAGGAGCTAAGCTCATGTTCACTGGCAGAAATAACAAAATTAATTTTATGCTAGCTTAAACAGTGCAATAAGAACTATCTGTTTGAAAAATTCAAAGAAACAATTTGGAGCCGTTTTTGACAAGAATGGTGTTTGATGATTTCTGAAAATGAAGAATATCAAGTTCTTTGCCCTAAAAAATTGAGTTTTCGAAAAACTTTAGGAGTCATAATTTAAAGCACGTGTACTCATAAATGCAATAATGTCAACAAATTGCCGTTAATATAACTATTAACTACGCGAGACGCTAGTAAAAAAAAATACATTTTTGTAATTTTTGAAAAAACAAAAGTGTAGAGAAAAATGGAATTCACATCATGTCAGAGCACATTTAGCACTATGCCTTCCAAAAGTTTAAATAAAAAATTTGGATCGGTTAGAGAAAATTATGCTTTTGTACTTTTTTAAATTGCACATATTGCGCAAAAACTACTATAAGTTACAAAAAATGTACATCACCTTAATGAAAAAACTAATTAAGGAGAACAAAATTCTACTTGAAGAAAAAATTGGCTTCAATTTTGTAATAATAGGAATATGCCATAATATTTTTAAACATTTGAAAATTTAGAGTTAATAGTGAAAATCAGACATATTCCACCACTATAAATCCATTTCACTATTCTTACAAGAAATTTAAAGAAAAATGTTGGAGCCATTTCTGAAAAAATTTCGAAAATGTTCCAGGGGTTTCATGTGTACAGGAGAAAACCAACACACACATTTTTGCTATCAAGGTCCCATTATTTCTGAAATCTGACTACATCATGTTTTAGATGTTATTTACTTCCATGTTAGCACAGGTTTTATTTATGTACTTTTTCTGTATCAGGGCCCCACAATACGTGTTTTGTCAAAATGTCACTGCATTACATAACTTTCTCTATACTCTGTATATATGTACTTATAAGAGAGAGTAATAATCAAAGAATCATCAAACGAAGAATTTGAAAGTTAACTGAACAATTTTTGTAATGCCCAAGACCTAGCAAGATATTGCCACGAAAAAAACCTTGTCACACTACTTGGTGCATTTCAATTTCTAATGCACGTTTTGTGGTACGTTAGGTGTATTTAACAATTATGAATGTCAAATTTGTTGACTAGACATATTGCTGGCGTAATGTTACAAGTTTGTATGTCAAGAAAATTGCAAAAACGAGTTGTTAAAGTTACAGAATTCTTTGAAGTAAGATCAAATTTATAACATGATAAAAAGATGGCAGAGGTCACTAGTTTGGGAAATATGGCTGCTTTTTAACTGTTCTATGTAAAATTTCATCTCCAAGTTACAAAGTTATAAGTAAACATAAAACTCACACGTTTTAAAAGTCCAGAAGTGTATGGAGTTGCAAAGTTTTAGGCAACTACTTACATATTTAGTAATGCAGACATAATATAAAGTTAAATGATAAACAGAAACCCCAATGGGTTGATGCACATGCAACCCTATGAATTGATTTTGTCATAAAAATACGTTTTGGGAAACCACCTTTCCAAAAATGATCTCTTCTGAAATGTCCATCACCAATACTTGAACAACACTAATGTCTAAACCATTTTCATAATTTTCGCCATAATATTTTTCAATTGATATCTATACCGCTGACCTTAAAATTTAAAACGAATATTTTAATTTTTGGGTGTTCTTAACGTGAAGTCCAAATGACATTTTCGAATTTCTCCTTTAGACATTAGAACATACCCCTCTAAATTTGTGAACTTGTCCATTATTATTTCACGACTGTCGATAAATTCAAAGGGATTATTCACAATAGTTTTTACAAATATGCCCTTAATCATCAATATTGAGCTAGAGATCTATTGATTATTTTATGATTACTTTTCAAACTTGTCAGTAGTTTTTGCACTGTTTTGAGTAACAATTTTTTCCCGAACCTATCCATCTCTCTTAATATTGAAGTTAGTTGATTTCTTCTGAATGCAATATATTTTCCCATATTAGATTTGGAAATAATTTCACGAAAACATTTATGAAAGTATTATAGCCTCTTCACAATTATGTGGTTTGCATTTTTTTAGTGGTAAGTGAATGGTTAGAACAATAGAAGGTGCATTATAATACTACTTAACAGTAACCAATTATATGAGAAATAATGCTAATGCAGCATCACTAGTTTGAATTTGCTTTACAATGTATTTAATTAAAATAATCCAATTATAATGTATTACATGCCTATTTCAAATAACACATTGAAAAACTGAAATTAGGAGATATCAAAGTGTTATGACCTGCACACAACTTTTGTTGCTTCATATAATCCAAATTTTAAGCCATTATGTTTAACGATTTGCTGAAAAATGATATTTGGAAGTCAATGCTGATTTTGATTTCTATTTTCACGTAAGTTTAATCATTAAAACCAAAATGTATGAAGACTTGGTACAAAAATGATATCGTAGGCTTCCACGGCCAGAGTCATGATCTGGGCTGTCCGGGTGACGCTGTGTCGATGGCTGAGGTACCAACGTTTCGACCGACATATCGCGGTCCTCTTCAGAGCTGTACTGCCCGGAAGACGACCGCGATATGTTGGCCGAAATGTCGGCACCTCAGCCATTGACGCAGCGTAGGGCGAACAGCCTAGATCTTGGTACAAAAATGATATGAGTGCACTCAAAAGTTTAAAAGCCTATTTCTCAAAAGCAGCACTGTTCTACATACAACCTTGTAACATTGAGCCAGCGATGTAAGTGAAGTTGAAAAATCAATGAGGTAGGATTAAAATTTTTTCACTAAACTAATTTACATTTGACTTGTAAAAGATAGGTTTGATTTTATTAATATAAAATCTTCCTGTGATAATTAATTTGTTCCAAACCTGGTAGCATCTTCACTGCACCATGCAATAAATATGCTTGCATAGAAGGGCAGAGGAAAGGCTCACAGAATACACAGGACTTTTGTTCCATGTACTTGAATAGGCCAATTTAATTTTCATTCTTCTGTAAACAAAACTGTATAAACTGTCATAGCAATGTTAGAACTACAAGAACACAGCTGTAAATAAAACCCATCAACATAAGATTTACATAAAATACAGGTACTAGACTCAAATCTGTTTGGCCACTTGCTGCTATTCATGCTGAATTATGTTTGTTTAGAACAATAACTGTATAGCTCCCTTTCCACACCTTGAAGTTGCTTCAGCCTCATACATTTTTTCTGAAAATTCATAATTTATCCAACTTTAATCCTCCCATGAAGATGCATGATACCCAGTCACCTTCCAAGAAAGCAAGTGTCATGCCTCATGGCTAGCCTTTTCACTGTTAAAAAGTATAAAGTTTAATTTAATCAAATTAAAATTACTAAAAAAAAATATCTGAAAATGTTTTGCAAATATTACACAGGTACACAAGTAAAAATAGCCCATATGACATCAAATAAAACCATTAAGTCTGCTTTAACATCAATAAAGAACAAAATTTCACTGTACCTGACATATATATGTGCTCAGGCTTATGCACTGACACGCTTTGCATACTTATTCACGGATAAAAACCATCAAAAACTACCACAAAGATTCAAATTCACACAAAGCACTCAAAAGTTCTCAAATTTCATTTGTCATTAAATCTCCACTCTTAAATTAGTAGCCTTCCATATCTGTTTTCTAATAGCACTACAGGGGAAGTGTGGGCAAACATTTAGGTCAAAATAAGACAAAAACATGTGGATCAAATCTGTAATTTGAACTGTGTAACAATTGTACCAGTACATATGCCTGCACTAGTTGAACAACCTGACTTATTTGTTCCAGATTATTGTAAAATATCATATGTCATCATATGAATTTCCAGTCAAGGTGAATTAGTGATAAAAACAAATGTGGAAGAACCTGGAAATGGTCAGTATCAAAACAGCAATAAACCGAATAATAGACTTCAAACAAGCACAAGGAACATCATAATAAACCACAAATCATGGTATGACATATGACATTTCAACAAATGGAGCATAAACACCATGAAAAAAATAAAGGCACAATTATATATATATTTTTATATGACGCTGAAAACTTCATCGTAACGACCAGCAGGAAAAAAGCTATTTACAGCCGGCCCTAGAGTAGATAGGGAAGCTATATCCCTGCACCTCCTTGTAACAACTTTATTCAAAATTTCAATTTCACAACCTTCTACTGCTCTGAAAATATAACACACAAGTACTAAGTTCAAATAGAAATTTGTTTTTGTACAGATGAAATTTTCAGCAACTAATTAAAAAAAATAAAGAAGGCTGTAACATTTAGCATCGTATGTACACATCAAGCAGTCTAACTCCTTTCACACAAATGTTTCGTAACTAATAAACATTTAAAAACTCCCACAAACACAAGAGATTTTTTGACCTTTTTTTTCTTAAGAAACAACCCACACATCAACGCCATCACATTCATCCCTTTTCTTACAAATAAAAACAAAGGCTTTGAGCCCGGTCACAACAGCGCCGGTAGTCAAGGAGTGAGCCTGCCTGCCGACCTGGCCCAGTAGAATATCACAGAGTCGCTGCTTGCCAGTGGAGAAAAGGTAATTTTCCTTTGCAGACACCGGCTAGCAAATGTGACAGACAGTTTCCAATTGATTACAATTGTTTACAGACAGTTTCCTTGTATCATTGCACCCACTCCAATATGAGTGCCTTACTAATTTAAAAATTCAAAATAAATTCTATGGGCCAGGCCACAATGTGTTCTATTTTCATATATATATAAAACATGTTTCATTGTTTATCTACCCCTAGTGCAATTAATTCAACCGCTAAGAATAACTGCTGCTGCTGCTGCCAGTAACGTTCCCTCACGCTTAGCATTTTGATTGGACTTAAAAGTGATGCCCATTATTCAAACTTCTACAACAAAATTAGAGCAATAATAAATTAATAATGACCTGAAAGACTCCTGACCAAAAGGAGACTTCAATATGGGACTAAGCGTATCAAGGATCGTTTGCAGCAGGCTAAGCTGGGTAGAAGATGCCCAGCACATCAAAACACTTATCCACAACAAGAGGGAAGGAAAACAGTAGGCATAGTTTACATCTATACAGTTGTAACCATGCCTGACTGTTCTGGAACAAACCACCTTGAACTACACCAAGGAAATTTGTTCTTACAAATAGGTCACTGATTAATGAATCTTCCAGATGCAACCGATTCATCTTGAAATCGAAACTACCTTTCTCACACATGTTCCTTCACTATTTTCAATTTTCATGGTAGAACAACTACCAGTCTTTTTCTAGCACAACACTCAGAAATTTGAAGTGTTCCTTTTAGAAATTTTTTTTTCATATTCTGCAATTGACTACCAAACAGAGAGGTAGAATAACCAAGTAATTCACCAATAATTTTCCACGCACTCATTGCCGTTGTGTGCGCCGCACAGCTTTTTTAACACGCCGCTGAGGATTTGGGGAGGGAGCTGCTGGAGCAGAAGCTCTGAAACAACAACAATAATATAAATAAAAACATTAATAAAGAATTACATGAAATTGAACTAACAAATCAAAGAGAGCAAAATAACTACATCAATATCTCGTTTATTTTCTCAATAATCACCAAAAGTGTAACTTTGGTAACGAATACTTTTTGATTGTAAGATAGAAATTCGAAAATATTCTTAAAACATATGTATTCTCTGTAAATAAGATACTGAAAACATTCAAGAAATAGCAATTCCAACTTGAATAATGTAGATGTGATATGAATGAAGAAATGTTTAGCCACTTACGTGAACTGAGGAGTTTCTCCTCCAGTGAAATTAAATGTGGGTCGTACATTTGGATTGAACTGCAGAGGCTGTGACTGAGATTGTGTAGGTGGTTGTCCTTGCCCAAAGGAAAAGCCAGTTGCTGGAGTAGTGCCTGGCTGAGCACTACTTCCAAAGGAAAATGGCTGCTGAGCTCCTCCAGATGGAAAATTGAATGAAGGTGGCTTAAATACATTAGCAGTTGGCGCACTAGCCGCTCCAAAAGCAGGAGTTGCTGGAGTTGCAGATGGCACAGAAGGCGTACCAAAGACTGGTGGAGGTGGTGCTGCATTGCCAAATAATGATGGCGCAGGGGCACCAGAGGCTGCAGCAGATGCTCCACCTGTAAAGCTGAATCCACCAAAAGTTGGGGTGGCAGCTGCAGGTGCTACAGCTGCAGTAGCAGTTGGAGTAGTGTTTGTTGATGTTGTCACATTAGTGGCACTGGAAGCTGCTCCAGGCCCAAAAGTGAAAGCAGCTGAACCAGGCAGGGTTCCTTGGCCTCCACTGGTTTGAGATCCTACATTAAAGAAGTTTGAACTCTGGGTTGTCGTGGCTGGATTAGATCCAAATAAAAATATTCCTTGTGCAGGTTTAGATGCATTTGCAAATCCTCCAAAACTAGACAGGCTGGGTGTGGATGAGGTGGTGGTAACAGTTTGTGCAACAGTTCCAAAGGCCGGTGCTGTCGTAGTGGCACCACCAAAAGTATTTCCGAAAGTTGCAACCCCAGACGCAGCCCCAAACGCAGGGGTAGAAGCAGATCCAAAGGTTGGCGGATTACTGGCGCCAAATACATTAGTTGCTGTCGTACTAAAACTCTGTGTTACATTGTTTGTTCCAAAACTATTTCCAGTGGTTGTGGTAGCACCAAATGCAACAGGTGGCGGAGGACCAAAACTGGATGCTGGTGTTTGGGTTGATGGTACTGTTGTGGGTACACTTGCAGTTGTCGTACCGACACCAAAACCTGATGGAGCGGTAGGAGTGGTAGAGCTCCCATAGGTGGGAACAGTCGTACTAAAGCAAGCTGTTGAAGCAGGAACTACAAAGCTTCCAGAAGTGGTTAGTATTGCAAAACTTGATGTTGGAACTGATGTATTGTTTGTAGTTGTAACTGTAGTAGTGGAAGGAATACCTCCAGCAGTAGTAGCTGAGCCAAAACCACTATTAACATTTGCAAAAACCGGTTTTGTCGTTCCAGAACCAAATGTAACTGATACTGTAGTGGCACTGGGTGATGAAAATACAGAGGCGGAGTTACCAAATGTTGAAACACTGGTGGCGGTAGTGGTGGTGATTGTGGTGGAAGTAACAGATGTAGGAGAAGTAGTGATAGATCCAAAACTTGGCAATGATGCATTTTTGGGTGGAACAGGAGAACTGCCTCCAAAAACAGCTGCAGCAGGAGCCACTGATTTATTAGAAAATACTCCTTCACTAGATGACTTAAACTGGCCACCAGCTGCTGCTCCAAAGACGCCACTTGCAGTTGTTTGGACACTTGGAGTACCAAACGAAAAAGCAGGAGCACTTGTAGTGGGTTTAAATGATGTGGAGTTACTTCCAAAAGCAAATAAAGATGAAGGTGTACTAGAAATGGGAGCAGCTACATTAGCTGTAGTAGTCACAGCAACACTTGTGGTTGAAGCAGATGATAATGTGTTTAATGCAAAAGTAAATCCACCAGCTTTTGTTGTAGCAGAAGATACAGATGCACTAGAAGCTAATGAAGTAGATGAAGTAACTGAAGCAGGGGAAGGAGAACCAAAATTAAAACTTGGCTTTACTTCTTTCACATTTTTCTGCTCCGTATTCTGAACTGGAGCGGCAAATGATGTCCCTTTATTATTTGCCTCCTCAATGCTACTTGCAAGAGGACTTTGAGAAACAGTGAACTGTAAGTCTTTTCTGAGCGAATCACTTTCATTAGCATTAGCCAATGCTTTAGATTCTCCAGTGTTTTCACTGGTTGGAATTCCAAAGGAAATGCCAGAGGTTTTTGAAGTTTCTGACAGTTGCAATGGCTTTTGAGACAAGCCCGAAGTCTGAGATGAAGCGTTTTCAGAAGATGCTGGAGTAACACTTTCTCCAACTTTAGACACCTGTTTCCCAACAGATACACAAGACTCAACAGCAGGAGAGATACCAAATTTAATTCCTGAAGGAATTTTATTTTCTGCTGAAGGTGCACCAAATTTAAAATTCATCTGCGCTGGTGCCCCAGAAGCCTCAGTTTTGGTACTTCCTCCAAACGCGAATGTGGCACTAACTGTTTCAGACTGTTTCAACTCAGCCTTATCTATTCCAAATTTGAAATTTGATGCTCCAGATGGCATTTCAAAATTAAATTTAATGCTGCTACCAGTACTAGAACGATTTGTATCAATTCCTGGTTTTGGTTCTTCGCATGCATCACATTTCATTGAAGAACTTTTATTCTGAATCATGCATACAGGGCATTCCCAACTATCACTTGGTTTCTTGAACTTTTGTCCCCAATCACTTCTCACTTCTCCACTTACAGAATCATTACCTTTTTTACGACTTGTTTCAGTTTTTCGAGGTGTTGTGCATGAAACACATTTCTGATCTTTATCTTCATTTCGTACAAAACATGCTGAACATTCCCATTTTCCAGCTGTCAACTTAAACTGAGAACCCCAATCACCAGCTCCGGCACTTCTGCCTGCAGTTGTGATGGTTGTTGCTGTCGCTGCTGCTTCTGCTTTTCCTGGCCCTGGTTTATCTGCAGCAGGTCGAGGTTCAGAGCAAGCTACACATTTATCTTCAGTTGCTTTGTTCCAAACAAGACATGTAGAACATTCCCACATTCCTGACTGAAGTGCAAAATTACTACCCCATCCTGAAGAGATAAGAGGAGTTTCTTTATCTTTTTTAAGATGTTTATCATCATTATTTTTGGAATCAGATTGAGTAGAAGGTTGCTTACCTCCACAACACACACAAATTTTCACATCTTTTTTGTTGCGAACAAGACAAGAAGAACATTCCCATGAATCTGGTACACTGAATTTAGCACCCCACCCATTATTCTGAGTTCTTTTGGTAGTGCTTGCATTTGTTGCAACATTTTCTGCACCACACACACTCTCTTGGCTTGCACTCATTTTTCCAGAGGTTTCTTTGAGACTTGCACTTAACACAACAGACTCCTTGACATCATCAACTTTAGAGTTACTGTTAAGTTTGTGGAAACCATTTGGTTCATTTCGTTTAAGTTTACTTGTATATTTTCCACTGTCTAGCACTTCAGGCTTAGAAAAATCAAAATTACTAGTTTTTGACTCAATAGATTCCTTGGACCTTGAAGTAGGTAGAACTGTAGGAGTTGAGAAGAAATAGTCATTAGTCATTGGACTATTATCACTATCAGCACATACTGTTGAAAATTGGGCACCTTTGGCCATAAACGAAGAAACCACACTTGAATTGGGCATAACAGACGAATTTATACTATTTGATTTCTCTGTTTTGCCTTTTAGTTTTACAGAGCTATTAGTAACATGGTAAGGATCTGAGCCTGAAAAGAAAAGGGAAAAAAATGAATTAAACTATGTAAATTTATATCAATAAACTTTGAAGAAATACATACTTTTAAAGTATCAAAATCAATCTATAACTTGAACTTTTGAATTTCAATTGTTCTTTTAACATGCACAAAATAATAGCTATCATACCACTACAAGCTGTTGCTGTTTCTACAATGCTGCTACTACTTCCACTGATAGTAGACGAGGTAGCACAAGATGTCTTGCTCTTTTCCACCTCCACTGTGTCACTAGATTCCCCATCTTTAACAGTAAACTTCGATGAATTGTTAGATGTCCGAGAATTTGCACTGGTGGTTGGAACGGGTATTTTGAATAAATCAAAAGAAGGCAATGTTGTTATAGGCAATGAAATGTTAGGGAGATTCACTGGCAATAGCTGTTCATCTTCATCCAAAGGTTTGGATTTTGTCACTTTGCCAGTGCCCCCTCGAAGACTGCCATCATCATTGCTTCTGCAAACAGACAAAGTTTTCTCCTTAAAATCACAGAACTATTTTTGCAGTAATAAGTACTAGAAAGAAGACAAAACATATGCACACAATCCCACTCGGCAAAGCAGCTACACTTTCTGATTTTGATATTTTTCTATATTTTACACAATGCTTATAAAATATTAATTATTGGTACATTGACTTTCACAATCTTCAAATTTTAAAAACTCTCAAATTAACCCATTAATACAAATTAAATAATAATAATAATAATAATAATAATAATAATTAAAGCGCAAGCCTTGGGTTTTTAATTTAGAAAAGGGTTTAAGTTATCTATTACTTCTGACTAGCTTAGTATAACACCTCGAGGATATTCTCATGATAAAAAGTTATTTGAGCTTTGCAAGTTCACACTCAAAATAAATGTTTAACATTGGGTTATGGTAGCCCAGTTCATCCTATTCACGTGTACTAAGTTGCACAAAATATATCTATTTAATTTAACTCAATTATGTTTTTGTTATATTACAATCTTATATTTAATTATTTTCAATTAATTATTTACTTCTTACTCCCAAAATAACGGACTCTGATGAATAAGCTAATAAGTCAAAAAACTTAATTGTATAGGACAGCAAAAAACAATTTTATTTATTTATATACATATAAACAATACAAATTATTAAAATATCAGGTTTGTTCCAGCAAACAATCACGGACTGTTTTACGTACTCTCACTCTGCGATGCGCGAGTGCAAACTAGTCAGAAACTAGTCCCGGATTGGGATCTGCTGAACAAGTAGGTACAAAAATCAGTCTCTAGGTGCCGCTGCTTTCGTTTCATCGGTAGTTGCAGAATTCTCCGCCAGATATAATTTTCGTGACGCATGTAAAAATCAAAGCGACCTGACCCTGTTAGTTCCTGCTGGTATTCACTTGCGCTTTACGTTTCTCCATAATTGCTCGCTTATTTTTCTTGACCTTGCTATCAATTACAGGTTTGAACCTGGTAAACTGTGACTTGCGCTATTGTTTTGACTATTCTTTTGGGTTTCGGGTAATTTGTTATTTTCCTAAAAATGAGACACAACGCTACCAATACAGAGAAGTAATAACTACATCATATTTAGTATTATCATGGTACAAGGAACTTCCTTAAAATTACTTACCTTCCGTTTTCAAAAAAAGAAACAAATATCAAGTTCCAATATCCGTAAGAAATTTAAAAGATGCTTCTTACCAAAATCCTAAGAATCTAGTTTAGATTGATTTAGTAAATAAAAGTAAAAAAAATGTATATGTGACGTATGGGGGAAAAGATGATCTGCGCATGTTTTTTGAGTTTCAGAATCCCTTCCATCATTTTAACTATAAATAAATAAATAAATTTTTAAAGAAGCGCGGGTTAGTAATACTTGGGAAAAAACTAGAAAATCAATGAAACAAAATAAAGTAGGGTCAAATTCCAATATTCACGAGAAAAATCCGAAAGAAAGCGAAATCACCGTAAACCAAGAATCAATAAAATGTAAACAAAGCAGGTCAAAATATATTAGAGCAGAATATAAACCCACGATGCAGAAACCTGATGGAAACGTGAATGGCGCGTCGTCGAAGTTTGGCGTTGGGGGAACTCGGGACCGAAGTACGCATGCGCGGATTTCTAGTTTGAGGGAGAGTGCGCGAACTGATTCGGACTATTTCGGACTGGTTTCAAACTAATCAGCAACCCTGCTGGAACGCGAAATGTCCCAGTCACAATCTGACTGCTGCTGCTGGAACGCCAAATACTAGGCTGCGCATGCGCGGACTAGTTCGGGACTGTTTCGAACTGCTGCTGGAACAAACCTATCATTTACATTACAGTATTATTGAAAATCATTTTTAGTAACGTTTTTTATAAGTTTTTTTAAATTGATAAGGTGACCAAAAAAAGTTAATGCGTTTACAGTTGCACTTCTACACATTTTCCATAATGGCGCATAATAGTACAAGGTTGATCTCGCAAAAGGAATATCAAATAACATGCTGTTTGTAGAACGCAGATCACGACACTGGATTAGCCCAAGGAATTTTACAATGTAATTCCTGAAGAGTCTATATCATGATTTATCAAATTATAAGAAAAAGTACATCAAAATAATCCCTATGGGAGCATAATGAGCTAATATTAAATCTTGTTGCGACTTGGAAATAATTTGACTAAATCTAGTAGTTGGAATTCAAGCTTAAAGGCAGCAAAATAAAAAATTTGTGCTGAACAGTTTCAAGCCTAGAGATATGGTTCTGGTAAAAGGAGACCATATTTGTCGAGCCATATAATATATCGTCTTACTAGAGTTAAATATAAAGTTTTGATGGTTTGCACATTAGTAAATTCAGATGCATACGTCTCACAAACATCCTAACATTGATTTGATTTATTAATAATATCGTCAATATGTAGATGAAAACTCCTTTTTTGATCAAAAAATAACACCAAATCTCTAAAGTACGAGACTGATTCCAACACTGCATCTCCTAGTTCATAATTGAATAAAATGGGATTACTAATAAGTAAAAGACAAGGACTTATCATTTACCATTATTCAAATTCAAATTTTGATGAAAACCAATCTAAACAATGTATTTAAGTCACACTGTAAATGAAAGTCTTAGTAAGAATTTATAGTTTTATAAATTTTCAAGTCATCAGCAAAAAGTAGGAATTTTGAATATGGAAGTGTTTTCTTAATAATTTACAAATAGAATGAATAATAGGTGGCCTAGGTGGGAACCTTGTGGGACTCCAGATGTGAGTATATATTTTAGAAACGAAGGATTTATATTCTACATTCTGCGTTCTCCCAGTTAAGTAAATATAGATCAAGATTGTACCATGAATACCAATTTCTTCCAACACGAAGCTAAAAGAAATGGTTTACAGTATCGAAGGTTTGGAAAAAGTCTGTATAAATTACATCTACTTGTTTTTGTTATATATAATTTCCAAGTATATAATGACTTATTATATGAGTAATATATGTAGTTGGATAGTCATCAAATTAGTAACAGGAGACCTCCCTTTACGAAAACTATGTTGTTCTCGATCAAAATTGGATTTAGAAATTGCATCAATTTAATCGTATGATGGATTCCATCAATTTAGCAATTATACAACATTTAGGATTGGTTCTATAACTCTCACGTTAGAACGTTTATCTTTTTTGTGAATCGGAGTTATATAACTGGTTTTCCACATCTTTAGGAGGATTCCTTCTCGCAGAGATTTAATAAATAAAAAGTGTAGGATTGGTATCAGATTCACATTACATTTTTTCAATAATAATGATGGTATACCATCAGGGCCAGGAGAAGTGTCGGTTTTCAAGTTATCAATAGCATTAAAAATATCACGTTGAGTTGTATCAATAAAGCCAATATCAACCAGTTTATCGTCTTGATTTGAATTTCTAATAGTTGGAATTTTAAACCAATGATGTAAATCAGCGATCATAAATCACAGATTTACTTCAGTTGAAAGTTAATTTTTGCTCTCCTGTAAAATTATGTGCTTATGACTTATCAGCTTATTCATCGACATCAAAGATATTGCATTGGGGACAAGGCTGGCGCCACATCCAGCCAACATTGCAAACACACAGCACCACAAACAAAAACCACCACAAATTACTTAAGTATGAATCTTCTTAAAAAAAAAAAAAAAAATTGAAAATTAAACATTTAAACACAACATTAAAGTAAAAGGTTTAATGGAAAAAATGTACAGAAATTACTGTACAGAATATAAACAACGCTCAAATAAGATAAATGTACAAAATAGCCAACATTTGTCAAAACACAACATTCTTCTGTATACAAAAAAATTAATAATAATAATAAAACAAAAGACTACAAAAGATTAGCAAAGCAACAAAAATAAATATAGTACACATAAATTCACTCTTTCACAAATCTGCTTCAAAATAAAATAATAAACTTTATATTGTATTTTCATAACACCGGTCATAAATATTTTAAAAGTTAAAAATGTCTCTACAACTGAGTAAGATTATAAAAAAAGTTATATAATGTTTCAGGCATAAAATCGAATGCTCCTAATCCAAAAATTATTTTAGTTCTGACTCATGTACCGACTTTGCATAAAACATTGTAGTAATTCAAGAAGAAAGATGCCTGTGACAGATTGAATTCTGTCCAACTGTACTTGAAAAATTATGTGCAAGTTATTAATGACAACCACAATCTTCAACATACTCGGGCTCTGTTTTTTTACAGCAGAGCACAATGAGTTGGACCCCTCAGTACATGCCAGACTGCTCTCGAAGGGCCTTGTTGTTCTGACATGTCAGTGATTCCGTTTTAAAAATGTTTCATATAGTTGGGATTTGTATTTGTAGAAGAAATATAAAGTTTTGAGTGATACATAGAGATGCTGTGAAAACAATTTAAATTGCATGGTTGCATATGTGTATGTTGTGTGACACATTTTTTCTCAATCATTAAAGTTAGTGGCCCATTTTAAAGTAAAATTGGGAGATCAGGTTAAAATGTTTGCTCTACATATCATTTGAAAAACTTGTGTAGAAAGTTTAAGACAATGGTACAACAGACTTCATTCACCTATATTGTTTGGCAAAAACAAATTCATTATAACATTTATATTATGATTATTGTCAGAGTAAAGTATCTAGTTATAATAATAAGATGGCCATTATCTAATTTACCATCAGCAATAAGACCCATTTCACAAGGACCAACCTTTTCAGAGTGAGAAGATCACATTCCACATTAATTGACAAATCCCAATTATACGACTCGGTATGCGGTTCGGATTTGAATCTTTTGAAACAGAACAATAAACTTTTAGGTTCCAGATTGAAAAAAAACAAACACTATTTTACAATGAGGAATTACATTTTAATGGTATAGCCATTGGGAAGAAATCAAACAATATTTTTCAAAGGGGAACTTGTGTTATGTTTGGACATTCTGAGCTTGATTGGTCAAGTAGTATG